ATATCAAGCCTTAATCCCAGCTTGCCATCTTGTAAATACGTAATATTTGCTTTCCAAATTACATCAATGATGATTCCCGGGTTGATTTAAGGTTGGTTGGTGGTGCTCTCTTCGGCCTTGGTTGGGAGATTAGGTTCAGGCCGAATGATATTTGGAGCTTGGAGGGGATGTTACTCATGGTCGTGAGTCAAGATGATGGGCGGCATGGGTTTCTTGGCTTTATGGATGGGTCGAGTCACTTGATTGTGTATTGGTACTCATATATGCCTTGGCATGGTTGGATCGGAAGACACTCTTTTGGCTTGGACTACCGAGCTTGTTTTTCGATGCATACTTTCTTTTGGGCTAACCTATTGAGCACTTCGTACAATGAGGTTTATTGGAATGTGGAAGACATTAGTATGTATTGTGTATGTATTTTGACCTTGCGCATGTATTACTCCTTTTGTTTCATAAAGATCGACAAACAAAGAGGATAATAGATTTATAGTCTTGTATAGGTTGTTTTTTGTTCCCAACCCATGACATGTCCTGAGGTAGGATGACTGCTTTTATAGGCCTTTGTACATTTTTCTTTCCTTCTAATACTTATTTACTTGCCAAAAAAAAAAAGTGTGCTTTACCCAAAATATCTCTACTTAATTGAAGGATTAAAGACTTAGAAATCGAATTATATATAGGTTCAACTTTGTAGATATTAAATCTTTTTTCATGGTTTTGCTTTTAGCTTTTGCGAAAGTGTGCTTTAGCCAAAATATATCTACTAAGTTGAAGGATCAAAGACTTATAAAAGACTTATAAACTAACTCATTTATAAGTTCAACTCAACAGATGTTAACCGTTTTGCATGGTTTTGCTCTTAGGTTTTATAAGTGTGTTTTACTCAAAACATGTCTACTTAATCAAGGTGTTGGATTTTGAGTGTGCCCAAATATAGCACCCATGAGTGCATTCGGTATAGCCCATGGGATGCAGTTACTTGGTAATTGCATATATAAACTGCACAATGGTTACTAACAATTTAGCAGTTTCCTAATCTCTTTACATTCAGCTTCCTAATCTCCTAATATTAATTAATTGGTTCATTATTTTGATTAGCAAAGTAAGCGACTAATTAATCAAAGAAGCACACATACACATACACATACACATTTCTTTTTGTTTTTCCGTTCTGTTGATTGAGAGAAAAACCTTTCTGTCGTGATTAAAGTAAATTCTAGTAAATATTGTACAAGAATTTCCACTGCGAAATTATTAAAAGGAAAGGGTGTTGTGAATCACTTTAAACTAATCATTTTATATATACTAGATGTGAGGTATTTTATGATTTTATGGAACCGCAATTATAGTGATTATTTGTTATAGAAGATATAACGACTTATAAACCAGTCATTATTAACATGTAGAAAATTAACAACTCAAGCTAGAAAAATGTATCAATGAATAGTGAATAATGATGCAACGTGTGAATCCAACAAAAGAGAAAAGATTGAGACACTCACGGTGAAGAACAAAAGAGAAAAGATTGAGACACTCACGGCGTAGAACAAAAGATTGAGACACTCACGGACACGGTGAAGACCAAAAGATTGAGACAAACAATGGTGGGTTCACATTTCTAATAGCCCACAAAGTTCAATGGGAACACCAAATCCACTCATTCAACGGGTGAAGGAGTGGGCTTCTTTTGATTTCTTTCTTTCTTTTCCCATATCTGTTTATAGGCGATTGGTAGGAAGATTCTAAGGAAAAAAAATTGGTTTGGCTTTTTACCACTTTGATTCTTGAATAGAATTGATTTATTAGCTCACATCTAGAAGTGCTTATTGGAAAAGTCAAAAAGCACTTGCTATACTACAAACTACAAAGGATAAGGAAGGGGTTTGTTTTTGTTGCCACTATTGTTGTTGTTGTCATTGTTTTCAAAAACTAGTTTGAAAATGAAAGAGAGAATAAAATAGGTGATGGGTATGATATTAGAGATTTTTGCTAGATGAAATTATTTTTTTGCAATTTTTATTAGAGGGTTTGATTATTTCGTAAACAATTAATGATATTTCTTATCATAGTTATTGTTGTGCAGTCAATCCGAAGAGAATAATTCCCTATTAGGAGAGAAGGTATTTAAATTGGCTCAATTTAGAAGGGAGATATTCATATTGACTTAGATTCCAACTAAGGTAGCCGAAGATCATGCAACTTCCTAATCCTATGTATTTAAATCTTATCTCAACTATATCATGTAAATGGGTGTTATTTAAACCCATCATAACTTTTTTTCAAGGGGGCTGGGCAATTGTTCTAAGCAAATTTTCCAAGGAATTATATTGTTCTTTGTAAGCTCTAAAAAACAATAAGATAACAGTGGACGTAGACTCAAGTTCTAAGTTGTCGAACCATTCTAAAAATCTCTCTGCCATTTACTTTATTGCATTTATTATTCATCTACTGCTGGTTATCTGTAATCACGCGCACATCATCCATTCCGATTCCGATAGGGTCAATCAGAATTCTCTGGTTGGTACAAATTTTTGTATCAACAGTTATCAAATAGGAAAATTATATTTATAACATTAAAAGGATAAAATGGTTCTATCTTGGTTAACCAAGTGTCTTTTTACATCATATTTATTTCTTTAATAAGAAGATAAGAGATTTTCTTATTTAAATATCTAATTTTGTTAATTATTAATAATTTTCAAGAAATAGAAATTGTTCGGAGTAGGGATTACAAATTTGCAATACCTTATTCTATTCCCATCTAAGTCTCATTTCCAAAATGTTAGATTACATTGCCTGCTCAAATAAAATAGTTCTCAATCGTTAATTTCATTCACTCCTGAGTGACTGTTACATCGTAAAAGTATTTTTCCTCTTATGATTAGATGACAAGCCTTTTAACCACTGGGGTTAACTGTACTTAGGGATTTTGTGTTTGAGTTGTCCACAATTGTGTAATTACCTTGGTCTATTTGACTTATAGGGTATTTCATAACTCTGAGGATTAGATGGGCTGGGCTGACAATTGTGCCTCTTAGTTATTAAAGAATTAAATACCCCATCAAATTACAAAATCCCATGTAAGTCTCATCTCCAAAATGTTAGATTACATTGTATTCTCTAATAAAATAGTATTTGATCATTAATTTCATTCACTACCAAGTGAATGTTAAACTGTAAACATACATCTCTCCTTGTGGTTGGATGACAAACTTTGTAGCTACTGGGGCTAACTATACTCAGGGATTTTATGTTCGGGAGAGACACCTATCACAATAGTGCAATATTATAATTACTTTGGTCCATTAGACTTGTAGAGTGTTCCATGACCCTAAGGAGGATAAGGCCAGCTCGGCTGGCAATTGTGCTTCTCAGTTATTAAAAAAAAAATCGCAAACATCCAAAAGTTTTCATAATAAATATCTAATCAAATTATATTCTAAAAGAACAATACTATGTTTAGAATTGAGTCATACAACAAGACAAAAATTATATAAAATTCATATAAAATGACTACTCTGTCTTATGTTTTTTGCATGGTTGTATGACTTGGTTATAAGTATAACATTATTCATTACAAAATCCTTTAAAAATATCATAAAAATCTCTAAAAACTATCAATAATGTTTTGCTTACAATTGAGTCATACAAACTAAGGGTGTTCGGTTCCGGGTACTCTGTATTTTTTGAAGGAACCGGAACCGGAACTGACAGTTCCTTGAAATTTGGAACCAGAATCGGAACCGACGGTTCCGATTCCGGTTCCGGTTCCTAGGTACCCAGAACCAGAACCTGTAACAACGGTTCCGGTTCCGGTTCTGAGTACCCTGTAAAATTACAATGACCCCCCAAAAGTTTTTAATCCTTAAAAACTTACAAATACCCCCCCCCCCCCCCCCCCCCCCCCCCCCCCCCCCCCCCCCCCCCCCCCCCCCCCCCCCCCCGGGGCATTGTTAACAAAAAAAAAAATTACAAACTCCATTACTTTGTAAAGGTAGATCTCAAAAGTCAAGCCAACTTATTTAAATGTTATGAAATATAAATTAAATGTATTCACATTACTTTTTCTACAAAAGTTTTTATTTACCTCATAATCTTTAATTTTATTTTATATTAGTCTCGATTCCTAGTTTCTGGTTCGGTTCCAAAAATTTGGAACTGGAACCTACCCGTGACGATCAGTTCTGGGTAGAAATCGGAACCAAACCCCGAGTACCCACCGGTTCCGGTTCCAACAGGTTCTTTGAACGCCCCTAATACAAACAGACAAAAATTACACAAATCTTTGTAAAATGATTACTTTATCCTTGTTTTTTTCTATTTGCATTACTCAGTTGTAAGTATAACATTGCTAAAAAATTATTCTAAACCTTATAAATATTGAAATCTTTTTTTTTTTAATACTTTCTAAAATTATTGATATTTTTCAGGGAATAAAATTAACCTATTGAAGTGTCATCTCTATTAATATTTAAGTGTAAGGCTTTTATTGATGAAGTAATTAAAAAATTTCTAAAAAATTATTAATCTCACACAAAATATTTTTATTCATATTATATTTATTTTAATCAAAGTATTATTTAGTTCGATATTATTAAGATTTAAGATACAAGAATGATGAACTTTGGTAATACAGATTGTTCTTACAAGATTCCAGCCGTTAATATTATCCGTTCGATACTGTATTACAATTGTCAACATATTAGCCACGTGGTAACATCACTCATCGCGAAGGACGTCCCCACACGGAAACAAATACTTCAAGCAAGCACTCTCTAGTCTCAAGGCTCTAGCATATTCTTCTCTTTCATAAGATATTCTCGCGAAGAATCACCTTGGTCCAATTAGACACCGCCACCTCAACCCCCGCGTGACTGTATCCAGATCACCTCTCCTTAACGGCCCCACGATCCCACGTGTCCGTCCACGTGTACTCCCCAACTTCCAGATTAATACTGAAAAATCAAAGTTAAAAACTCTTTAATCCCTCTCTTCTTCATTCTCCTGTCTCGGTTTCTATTAAAAAACATTTCTTAGAAATTCAAATAATTAAAAGAAAAAACAAACTGAAAAAAAAAAAAACACACGGCATGGAGAACGAGAGGCCAGGCGCTTCTACGACGTCTTCTAACGCGTTCTCATTTATATCGAAGAGCTGGCGAGAGGTGCGTGACTCGGCGGACGCTGATTTGCAGTTGATGAAGAACCGAGCCAACTCATTCAAGAATTTAGCGAGTTCTTTCGACAGAGAGCTCGATAATTTCTTCAATTCGGCGTCGACGTTCTCAGTGTCGTCGATTAAGTCGTCGCCGTCGCCGTCGGGGACGGAAATCGACTTTGTTAAGAAATTTCAGCCAAAATTCTCGGAGTTCCGGCGAGTTTACTCGGCACCGGAGATCAGTAAGCGTGTGCTGGAGAAGTGGGGACCACGCGCGAGGATAAGGTTAGACCTGTCGGCGATAAGGAATGCGATAGTATCGGAGGTGGATGAGGAGAGGGACAGAAATGGAATTATTGAATTTGATAGGGGTAAAAGAGGGAGAGAGTTCTGGGGAGAGGGAGAGAGGGAATGGGAGCCGATAAGGACACTGAAGACTAGGCTGAGGGAGTTTGAGCGGAAGCGAGAGTTGTCTGTGGAGGACATTTTTGGCGGGTTCAAGAGTAGTGATTTTGTTGAGAAAGTGAAGTCTAGCTTGGTATGTTTTTGTTTATTTTTCTTTAATTTTGTGTTTTTTGGTTATAAATTTTATAAAATGTTTGGTGTATATGCTTTCTAGGGAAATTTTCATTGGTTTTGGGGAGGCTCATGAGAAGCCTGGGATGAATTATACGTCAGTTGCATGTTTTCAGATAACTAATATTGAGTATTTGAGGCTATTTTTCTGATTAGGAGATTAATTGCAGAATATAGAGAATTGTAGAAGAAATGTCCATATTGCTTATATTGATAGCTTATATCGATAGTAGGCTTATGATTGGATTCCTAGCAATTTGTTGTGGTGAAAGTTGGAAAAGAAGTGTGCTCGTTGGAGATATGAACGTGACTCGTGTATAGTGGAGTTAGTACTTTCTGGTGTTAATTCCAGCGAGAGGGATGCTACTGGTTTCCTATTTAGAATTGGTTTACTATAAGTTTTAACTTTGAGCCCTTATCTTTTGCTTTTATATATCCAGACTCTAGATTAACTATTTTGGCAAATGTTGGTTGTCTAGAGAATCCCGTTAAAGAATTATATTAGGGTAGAGGTTTGCTCGAATTGGATTTATGGTGGGATATTTTAGAGTTTAAGGTTTAGTATATGCTAGACAAAGACAATACATGAATTGCAATTTTAAGGTAAGCAGTTTTTCTTCCTCTGACACGCATACAGCAGTCTGTACACTAAATCATACTAACTTTAAGAAAAATACGGGCTCTCATCCGATTCCTACTTCTGGATGCAAGAGTGATTGTTTTTGGTACCTTGGGCTCAAGTTACTACTAAAGCATGAGATCTAGGAAGATGTTAAACATATAATTAGAGTGTCCTGGATGCAATGGAGAAGTTCAACTAGAAATTTTATGTGATCATAGATCTCACACAGTTGAAGGTCAAGTTCTTTTATTAATGTTATAAGTTCCAGCCATGTTTCATGGAACATAGTGTTAGAATATTTAAAAAAAAAAAAAAAAAGCATAAAATGCTTTATGCATGTGTAGAATGACAATCCATATGCTGGAGTTTCATGCCTTGTCTTGTCAAACACTCTAGATTTATAGTGGTAGAAATAACGCTTCTATCTAGCTATATTTTTAACTTGCTATAAATAAATGGCACATATTTTCATTTACTCCCCCACCCTTGCTGCACCAGCACGAGGGAGAGAAGGTTAGAGAGAGAGGAAGAGAATTTAACTCAATTTGTCAAATACTGTATTTGTTTATGGGTTAGGTATTGAAGCTTAAATTTTTTACTTAAATTTGCGATACTAATATTTCATCCATCTGTTGCATATCTGGTGGTTTAGAACTTCTCTCCGAAGTCTATTAGATTGCATTTGATTAATGGCTAATGATTGATATCGCAAAACTAAGTCAGTTCCTCAAGTTAGAATTTCTTGACCATCTACTTTAACTTTTGTGATTTTTGGTTTGGTGTTGAAAATTTTAGCCATTTTTTAATTGTTCTTTGTTCATTTTCACGCTTTTGTCTTGTGTTGCTAATGTATTTGATAAGCTAATTTTTAATAATGTGTTATATGTTTGTGCAGAAAGCAATTTGCAAAGAGCCTCAGGATTCAAAGGTTGGTGTCTAACCTGTATGTTTTTTGTTTTTTAAATGCACATTTAATTTTATGAATTATCATTTAATTTAGACAATTGATGCACAGAATGCCTCCTTCAATTGTCCAGGACCTTTAGAAATGTTTGTTAAATTAGAAGACGTGTGGCATTGATCTTTTTTCTTTTACCGATACAGGAGGTACCCCCACTGGATGTACCAGAACTCTTGGCATGTTTGGTGAGACAATCAGGACCATTTTTGGATCATCTTGGTGTTAGAAGAGGCAAGTAATTGTGATCTTTTTTAGGTTTATATTTTGAATTGAAAGGCATGGTTAACTTCTTATCTATTCTAATACAGTAAAATTCTGTACTCTTTATTGTATTATTACTCTTGGATATCTCTCTAATACTCTATTTGGAGCTTAATGAGTCAATATATAAGTGGACTGTGGGAATCACAAATCTTTTTGGCTGTTTTATAAAATGAATCAATTAGTGGGACTAATGGCCAAATATGGACCTGGATGAGTGAAAATTTTCAACCTTCATCTTGCTAGAACTTGTGAATAATATAAAAGAAACTGAGATGGTATATAATACTAAAATATTTCATAATGATTTGGCTGTCAAATCTTGAAATTCCGTCCCACTTCATCTTCTTTAGTACATTTATTATTCATATAATGCTGTCACATTTGCTGATCATACTAGTAGTAAAAGTAATTATAAAACAATTTAAATAATTAAGGTATTGGCATAATTAGTTATCAAGGGCACCAGTATAAGTGCTGATTTTACTATTACTTAGTTGTAAGGCAACCAATGTTTGATATTTCTTTCTTTCTTTTTTCTTTTTTTTTTTTTGGTTGATTAATAGATCAATGTGATGGTTTTCATGTTTCTGGAAATTATCATCTTTGAATATCAGTTGACAATTTTACTGCTGCTTTGAATTTAATGCTGTTTTGAATAAAATTTCAGATATATGTGATAAGATAGTGGAGGGCTTGTGTAGCAAACGCAAAGAACAACTTCTGTTGCGCTCTCTATCTGCAGGAGAATCCACCTTACTTGAGAATGATAACATAAATGATGAACTGGATTTAAGGTTAGCCAGTGTCCTTCAAAGTACAGGACATCATTATGAAGGTGGCTTTTGGACAGACTTTGCAAAGTATGACCAGTCAGAGAAAAAAAGGCATGTGGCCATTGTCACAACTGCTAGTCTTCCATGGATGACTGGAACAGCTGTAAATCCACTTTTTCGAGCAGCATATTTATCAAAGACTGCACAACAAAATGTCACACTATTGGTTCCCTGGCTTTGCAAGTCAGATCAAGAGTTAGTTTATCCAAACAACGTCACTTTTAGTTCACCTGAAGAGCAGGAAAACTACATACGTAACTGGCTCGAGGAAAGGGTTGGCTTTAAAGCTGGTTTTAAGATCTCCTTTTATCCTGGAAAGGTATCTCTTGGATGTCAAACTATTCTATCTCTTGTTGATCATACCATTATAATGCACGTCTGACAATTTTTTGTCTCCCTGTATTTTAGTTCTCAAAAGAAAGGCGTAGTATAATACCCACTGGGGATACTTCTCAGTTTGTACCATCAAAGGATGCTGATATTGCAATCCTGGAAGAACCAGAACACCTGAATTGGTACCATCATGGTAAGCGCTGGACTGATAAATTCAACCACGTTGTTGGTGTTGTTCACACAAATTACTTGGAATATATCAAGAGGGAGAAAAATGGGGCTCTTCAAGCTTTCCTTGTGAAGCACATAAACAATATAGTCACAAGAGCATACTGCCACAAGGTATGTCAAATTTGTTGCATGATAACTTGTGACTAATGAGTTCGTCATGAGAAAGTGGTTCAATTAATATTATCTGGCTGATCTTTCTTAGTAATATTTACAGGTGGTTATGATGTGGTTTAATCTAATTGCTTGTGTCCACTATTTCAGGTTCTTCGCCTTTCTGCTGCCACTCAGGATTTACCGAAGTCTGTGGTTTGCAATGTCCATGGTGTAAATCCAAAGTTCTTGAAAATTGGTGAAAAAGTTGCTGCAGAAAGGGAACTAGGGCAGCAAGCCTTCTCAAAAGGAGCATATTTTCTAGGCAAGATGGTCTGGGCAAAGGGATACAGGGAGTTGATAGATTTGCTCGCAAAGCACAAGAATGATCTTAATGGTCTCAAGTTGGATGTTTTCGGTCACGGAGAGGATGCACATGAAGTTCAAAGTGCTGCTAAGAGGTTGGATTTGAATCTCAATTTTCAGAGAGGAAGAGACCATGCAGATGATTCTCTTCATGGGTAAGGAACTCTTGAGAACCATCATTATTGCTCTGAAACTATTTACGGAAAGGATTTTATTTCAGAATCTTTTAGAATTCATTGCATAACATATGAAATAAATCCGAAGAGAATCTGTTTTGAGTTTAAAATCAAATCAAATCAAGATGAGCTCTATTGAGCTAGCAAACTGACCATGTGTTTCTTAATTATAATCCCTTAATCCTTCTGTCTGACATGTTTTCGTCATGCTTGCAGGTACAAGGTCTTCATAAATCCTAGTGTTAGTGATGTGCTCTGCACAGCTACTGCCGAAGCACTTGCCATGGGAAAATTTGTAATTTGTGCAGATCACCCATCAAATGAATTCTTTACGTCATTTCCAAACTGTTTGACATACAAGACATCTGAAGATTTTGTTGCCAAAGTGAAAGAAGCATTGGAAAATGAGCCTCAGCCTCTTACTCCTGAGCAAAGATATAACCTCTCATGGGAGGCTGCCACCCAGAGATTTATCGAATATTCTGAGCTTGACAGAGTCTTGAATAACAAAGATGATGATGCCAAATCAGGCAGAACTAACAGAAAGATCGTCAAAAAGTCAGTTTCAATGCCTAGTCTTAATAATGTGGTTGATGGAGGGCTGGCATTCGCTCACTACTGTTTCACCGGGAACGAGTTTCTTAGACTTTGTACTGGAGCAATACCTGGGACACGAGACTATGACAAGCAGCACTGCAAAGACCTGCATCTTCCGCCTCCGCAAGTAGAAAATCCTATCTATGGCTGGTGAGTACAGGAACCAATAGGTAGTCAACAATCCCCATGTATAAATTTTCAAGCATTGAACGTGGATCTAGTCCATGGTTGTTAGTAGAAGGTTTCTTTTCCGTTCGTTAGCAATATATTTTTATTTCAGAACCACGTATTATGATAGCCAAATACAAAATTTGGCTTTGTTCATAGAAGAGTAGATGCCTAGTTAGTGATTTCTTATGTTGAAAAATGAACACAATAAACTATTTTCTGTTGTACCGAATTTTCGCTAAACGTACATTTCGGCTCAAGCTGGAATAAGCTTTGTCATTTCTCCTCTGCTTTCGTATTCTCATGAACAAGTTTTCACAAACTGTATCGATCAGATTTTTTGTACACTTTTTGATTCCAAACTCTTTCTGTTGCCTTTTTTTGTAAGATTTAGTGTATGGAGTACTTGGATATTTCAAAATTCGTGCATCCTGAAGGTGACAGTCTAGAGATTTTGACTTGGATTTGATTATTGTTTTGATTTTTATTTTGGACCATATCTATAAATAATAAGTTTCTCCAATATTTTTTTTTTTAAAATTTATCTATTTTTCAAAAAACATAAAACGGTGTTTATGAAATTATCAAGGTGGAATTAGGAACTAACATTGAATTACTTGAATTTAAAGACAGTTAAGGCTAAACTATATGTTAAGTCACTCTTACAAATAATCGAGGGATTTGGAAATGGAGTCTTTTAAAGCTTACAAAGATGAAAATTATGGTAAGGGTTAACTAGAGTAACTCAAAATAAAGTTTAATGGTCTAGGTAAGTTATAAATGTGATAGATAGTTACTTGGTGGGACTTGAACATAAGACCTTTAGGTATCTTAAAGTCTTGTCATCCGTTTATAAGCCAAGTGGTTCAATGGATCTCGAAGATTAGTTGAGGTTCGTGTAAGTTGGTTTGGACTTTTTGGTTTAAAATAAAAATAATAAAATAAAATTTTGATTTAATTTTTTTTACACAAATTTTCAATCATTAGTCTTTTATAAAGCAGTAGCTTAGAAATTACATGAGGTGGCAAAGAAAATAACCACCTTCAACTCTCTTCTCATATCCATTAGATCTAAATATATCTACCGTTATGAATTTGTGTCTCAATTTAAGTCGGTATTTTAAGGTAATATAGCACGATCCTACAAGTAAAATTAGAGTAAAAAAGTACAATTTCCTCTATAAGGTAACACTGAATACTAATTCTATCCCTCATGTATTTGAAATAAAAATCTACCTGTTATTTGCATTCGGTGGCAGAACTAGGAAATTACATATGACTATATGAGGGGACAAAGTGTGATGTTCAATGAATGAAGAGACTAAATTGAAAAAAATGTATTTATGAGATGACATTTGGGGGGAGGGGGTGTATGAGAAACTTAAGGGACGAAATTATTTCTACATAAAATTAAAATTATTATTTTAAATACCCAAGGAGGGAAATTTCACTTTAATATTAAAAATAATAAAACTATGTGCACTAACCAATGTGTTCTAATCCAAGTATTAACATTAGAAATTTAAAATTCTCTTAAAAAAAAATTTTTAACTTTTAATGTTAGTACTTGAAGTAGTACACATTGGTTAGTGTACATATCATTACTTTATTAAAAATAATATAAAGCGTTAGTGAAAGTAATAGAATTTCTAGGGACTTTTTTGTAACTCTTGATAGCATGATAGTTTCAATTTAAAAGCTTAAAAACCCTAAACTGTTTGATAAAGAATCAGCATTAACTGTTAAATCAAACACTCTTAAAAGTCAAATCGGTAATTAAAAAATAAAAGAAAATAAATAAATAAATAAACAAAAAATTTGATGCATGAAGACAAAAATACAGATGTTCATGGATGTCAAATGTCAATATACTTTTTTGGAACGTGCGGCTCACGTGTTACCCTGACTCTTGTTTTTATTGAAGCAAAATGGAGCAGGGTTCTCAGTGTCATTTGATCATGTGGTGCCCATTTACCAAAAAGGACACCGACTATTGAATAAAGGCAAAAGCTTTCCTCACAGAAATAAAAAATACAAATAAAAATAATATAAAGTTTAATATTAAAGCATTCGTCAAAGTACTAAAGCTTTCTATGGACATTTTTGGCAATTTTAATCATGCCCATGCCATAAGTGTACGTTTCTCCTCAACCATTTTTTCTTTTAAGTTTGGTTTACCTTTGACAATTAATTAAGTGCAACTTGATTTAAGATGAAAAAACAAAAAGTCTAGTATGTGGCTTTCAATTTCTTCTTTGACTTTTTTGTTTTTAAATGATTTTGAAAATTTTAGATTCCGAGCTTGATATTTAATATATATATCAATGATACTCTTTATAATTTAAATACATTTATTAAACTTAATTATTAATATAATGGTTTAGCTGTTATTTGAAAGTTTTAAACAAAATAGTTAATATAATATGATATTTAAAGGTATTAAATTCAAATTTCTCACGTCTCAAATCACTCTCCATTATGAGAAAACTATTTAAATTTTAAACATGAGATCTTATTTGCATACAAGTTGTATTTGATAAAAACCCAAACGTTATGGGTCTAAGAATAGTAAAAAAAAAAAAAAAAAAAAAGGATATTTTGAAACCCCTAAGGTATGATCTTATTTTTTAAAGCAACCCAATGATTTTGAAAACTAAGAAAACAACCCATTTAAGGGGATTTTCAATAATTTTGGGATCTAAATATTACCAAAAAAAAAAAAAAATATGCAAACTCTAGCTAAAGACATAATCTTCTTCTAATCAACAGAAGGCAACTCGTTAGTGCTTAGATTCCTCTTCTAATAAGTTTACTTCATTGATCATGAATCTGACCTAATTTATTTTTTCTTTTTAATTGTCTTTTAAGGATCTTGATTAATTGAATTATTTAAACTTAGTTAACTTGATGACAGTAAGAATGTTCAGCTTTGTACAGTGGCTTGAGCTGTGGGATTGCAGCCACTCATAAAGTTTAGTAAAAGAAAGAGAAAAAAATAATAATTAAAAATTAACTTATTCCAATACTGATTCCCATCTCAGGATTATCAGCTTTCTAATTCCTTTGCATTTACTAAAATAAAATAAAATTGAAGCAGAAGAATGTTCAGCTTTCCAAATTCTATTATGGGTTTGGGATTGCAGCTTCTGACCTTAAAAAATAAATAATTTTATCTTTGCTTAAGAGAACCCATCTTCTGCTTACTCATCACATGCTTCACTTTATTTATTTATCAATTGAAAAATTCTAAGAATATTCTGTATAAGTATAACCCTCTTTTTGATTAGTTAACTTTAATTTGATTTATTTTAATTTAATCTTAATCTCCTTATATGGAATATTAAATCTAGAATGGTATATATGTAGCAACTTGCTCATTTGGTTTAATTTTTCAATATATTATTTAGAGGAATCTAATTTTCAATTAATTAGTGAAGTACTAACAATGAACACAATTAAGGATAGCTCCACGTGCATGTCGATTTGTGGATGACCTAACTTCAAATTAATTTTTTTTTTGTGGTGGGTGTTCAAACCAAAATCTATTAAATTATGCTAATGTCAATGAACTAATGTTCTTTTATTTTTTATTTTTTTGTTTTTAACATGATGGAATGGGAAATTTTTTATTAAATTAAAAAGAAACTAGAGACATAATCAATTTTATCTCTAAAAATCAAATAACTTTATAATTATTCAATGATTTATAAACTAATATTTAATCTAGGTTTCTTCTTTTAAGTTTAATGTTTAACTAATACTTGAATAATGCTATTCGTCCAAACAAAATAAAATGATTATGCATCAAAATTAAATATGCATATCCTTGGCCAAATCAAAATTAACAAGTACTAAAAGTACATAAGAATACATGCTTTCTATGCTATATATATTCGGGAACGTTTAAAAAAATATTTTATAAGTGAGTTTCGAAATTTTCAATGCAATGGAGCAGTTTCGGGGTAGGTAGACTTGACAAATGGGCGGATTGGGTAACAATGAGTACTTGTCAAAGGGTATAGGTCGAACAGGTGCAAACTGATTGGATATTCAAATTACGATGATCGGCTAAAAGTGGAGGATGATCGGCCAAAGGACTGAGGAGGACCAGAGTTAGACTATGAGTCTGTGAACGAGACGAGAGTTGAGAATGAATGACAGAGTGAGATAGAAAAGAAAATAACCCTAATGCGTAATTGTAATTTCATTTTTACTATTTCAATTTTTTTTTTTAATTTGGTGCGAGTACTCGCGAGTTTCACTCAGTCCACCCGTAAAAAAAACGGATGGATTGGGTACAGGTACATTTCTCACAGGTCCTAAATATATTAACTTGTACCTGTAGGAATTACACGAATACGAGTGAACCCATAAATTTACAGTACCCGTTTGGCCAGGTCTAGGGGGAGGGTGGTCTCCCCTATTCCCCAGCCCACTATAAATTTAGGCACCATTCCTAAAAATTTCACTAGGATGATTTAATTTGCCCTCCAGACCCACGCAAGTCTCCAAATTTAACTCCTCCATCCTCACCCAGATAGAGGCATTTCCCCACGAGCATATGAAGTTCTGAGATAATCATTAGTTCATTACAAATTTAATGTATATATAAATTATTTTCTTATCTATTGTTTCGATTAATTTGATTGATCTTTTTGTTATCTTATAATTTTTATAAGAACTTTTTCCCACCCAAATAATGGCTTAATGACGCTTTTCCACCCACAAACTTTAAAATACCATTTTAATTACTACCCAAATTTATATTCTGTTTCCGATTCCGACATCTTTGCAACCCCACACCACTACCATTCTTTTTCTCGATTATTACGCACCAAAACCCCTCAAACCCTATTCCTATCAACCCCGCCAATCGCTGGCAATCGATTTGCAAAATCGCTTCTCTTAAGTCAAATTCCAATTCATCCCAACCACCAAAATTCAACCTTCCATCATAAAAAAACTCATCAGCCTCCCATCTTCAAAAGCCCCAACAGTTTTGATCGAGTTTGCTCTCTCTATTCGTCGTCAGAATATAAATTTGGGTAGTAAAACGATATTTTAAAAGTTTGTGGGTGGAAAAGTGTCATTAAACCATTATTTAGGTGGGAAAAAATTGTTAACTCTTTTTATAAATAAGGTTTAATTTGTAAATTCATTTATATGTGACTTAAAATGTGGACCACATGTTATTAAATTTTTGTATAGGAATTGAAGTTATCTATATAATGGATTTCTATGAAATCCACCATAGGGTTTTAAATTAGGAATAAATAATATATATCAACTTCGTGGAAAGTCTAAGAAGTGGGAAACAGCTCAAGATTCAACTCTCTGAATTATATTTGTTCTCTTCTCTTTATATGTTTCTGATACTGGTGTGGTGCTAGAATGAACCCCATTAACTCAATGATGAGTCAATTAACAAATATAGAATTCTACTGCAATTTGATTCCAGAAACCACTACCTGATGATCGATCTTACATATGGTTCAATGAATCAATATTGAAAGAGAAATATTACTGGGTTTATACTCTAAATTTGAAAACGGATAAAAGAGAGAAAACTATTAAGTATATTGTTAATTGTTTATCTGAAATACTGAATTCACGATAAAAAAAAAAAAAAAATAATAATAAAATAATATAAACCATGAATAACTTGTAACCTAGTACGTACTACCCTAAACCCTAAGCTTTTGCAAATATATTATTAGGTTCCTCTATGTACTAGTTAATGACCACTTTTTTTGGTCTCGTCTCTCGAATAAATACTCTTCTATATAACAGATATATGTACCATAAATCAACTATGGGATAACTGCATGTCACACACATTGATTTGACATTTTATAGATTCGTAGGTATGTCAGGAACTTTTTATTTCACCTAGTAATCTAAGGTTTTACCTAATTCTAAGACGTTTGGCTTAATCGAAATTAAATAGATAAAGATATTATATATGGGAGGTTTTTGATGTAGTTTTGATGATTTAAATAAGAATATTCCGATAATAGTTTTCATAATTTGGAGGATGAATTTCGAAGATGGTTGAATTTGTTTATTTTTTATTTTTTATCAAATATCAAAGTAGGTCAACTTATTTATATATACTGAAAATAGAAAAAAGCTGATTCTAAAAAAAGAAAATCCATCAAGCAATGTACTGAACTTTTGAGTGGAATATTATAAGGACTCCACCATTAATTATATTATTTAATTATTTTTGTCTCTGATTTTCATATATAATTTATATCTTCAACTCCAAGTAAAATGATCTTCATTAACTTTTTGGCAAAAGCAATATAGATGTCATAAACTTTGTTCCAACTTCTATGTGGGTTCTTTTGTTTTGACATAATAGAAAATGAAATTCAGGTTAAAAAGCAATAGAAATAAATCTACACAAGACAAGGATTTCAGAGCAGCAAAAAGCACTTCCTTTTCCTTCTGCTATTTCATTAACACATACCAGTAGAAAATTAAACACCAAAAAGGTAAGGTTTTGTTAATAAATATTCTTCCCTTAAAAACTAATCCTAGACCTCATTCATTCTATTAACATATTATATTTACACAATTTCAACTCTTTCTCCATTCTTTGCTGCCTTAGAAATATTCCCATCATTTTCTTTAGAATTTTCCGGAGAATCTGACGCCTCATCGATGTCTATAACCACATGATTACTGATCTCTCCGTCTAAAACAGGCTGCACACTTCCTCTGTGCAGCAAATTATGAGGCTGCACCTTCAATTCAGGCGAAACTGTTGCTTCCACAGTCTTGAAATGAGCCAAATTTGCGAGTTCATTCACCGAATCAGAAATTTTTTCAACTGTTTTAACGATTTCGATGAGTATTGAAGCCACTGTTGCAGCTGGAACGATCGCTTGGAGATCTACGATATTGTTTGTACTTAAAGTTGTAGCTTTGAGGGTTATTTTCAAATCTTTTACAGCATTTTTCGAGGCTTCGACAAAAGGGTTTGCCGCCGATGGATCCGCCATTGTTTTGATTGATGAAGCTAATGCTTTCAGTGCTTTGCCGGATTCTGCACTCATCTTTCTGCAAGATTGTTGAATTTCACTTTGGAATTCTGGTGGAATCTGCAGCAACACATTAACAGTTAATTAATTGTATAAATTACTGAGCTGGATGAATTAAAAGTAATTAATTAATTATGATGTGCATGCATGTTATTAGCAATTAATTATATTACTTAATTAATTTGTTTGTTTTTCATTTTTGTGTGGACGATATGTTGCCAATAAAGTTGCTTGATTTCTAGTAAGTTTTGGACAATGCACAATCTTTTTAGAGATTTATTCATAATATAAAAATAAAAACTTAAAGTTTATTTATATAAATATAAATTTATTGATTAAAAGTGTAAGTAGTTATAATGGTTCGCATAACTATTCATATTTTAGGTCTAAACTTTAAGATGTATTACTTGGAAATCGGAGTTGATGATGAAACCATTAAGAGCTTCAATCTGGTAAGCACATTGCCGAGCAAGACCTGCAATCTTCAAGTATTGTTTCCATGGATGACGAAGCCTGAAACGGCCATGTCCAGGTTCCCATCTTGCTAAATTTGCCTGCAAATTTTTTTTTTACGGAACCATCTTAGTATAAAGTAATTAATCAAGATAATTAAATCAATAACATGGTTAAAAATTAATTTTTTTTTTTAAATGATCTTAAAATACTCACCAAAGATTCCTCTGTATTCTTTGAAGTGAGAACACTTTTGTATCCTTGAAGAAATGACTTATCTTTCTTAGATACAACTTCTTGAGAACTCTCTAAATCTTGAAAATATTCACCTCCAAATCCTGTTAATTGATTAAGTACTTAATTAGTTAACAACTTAAAAAAAAGACAACTGAAATATTAATATTATATTATTACTACCTTCAATGTAGCTTGCAAGCTTTTCTAAATTGGAAACAAGAAGTTCGTGAAGATCTTCACCAGCCCAAACTGGACAAACAAAAATGGATACAATGATACAAGTTGCTCCTCCGATTAAAATTGTTGTTAATCTTTGATGAGCCAACACCAAAAGTTCATCAACTCGATACCCAGAAACAGCCACCAAGCTGAATGTTAGTATAAATATCAACACTCCATAATCATATCTCGCCTTAATCCTTGGAAAAAATCGAGTGAATGTAGATGCCGCAGCTACACCAACAAAAAACCAAACCAAATCAATGAAATAATAATATTAACGCTTTATGAACATTGTGACGATGTTTGCGTCAGAGAATAACTATATATGTATAAAGATACCTAATAAGAAGACGAGGATTCCGAGAACGATCGGCTCGCCTTTCTCTCCGGAGAGGCTTGCCAAGTGTTGTGCTCCGACCCCAAGAGCTCCAGCTGATAATGTTGCAAAGCCTCTATTGAGACATCTGCTTAGGGTTCCACCTGTGTACATTAATAACTTTACTAATTGATAAACATTATTGAGTTGATAACTTTATGTATTTAGCGTTGTGATAAATCAATGAACTTACCGACGGTGAACTCGAAAACTACGACCACAGTGAGAACAGCCCACATGCCAGCGACTCCGAAGCCATCATAGAGAGGCCTGGCATAGTATAGTAAAGAGACAATTGAGAGAGCAAGCCCCACTTTAAGCGAGTGAATGATTCGTCTTGGGTCATTTTTTCCAAGTTCTTTGATGCTCTTTGCAAGCTCAATAACTTTAGCCCTGAAGCTACAAGGCAAGGCCTTAAGCCAGCTCCATACGCGCGCGAAAAACCCCGATTTCTCTTGAGTTGTTAGACGAATCTCCATAGCGAAAAAATCGATCGATCGAGGAACAACTTTCAATGAAGAAATAAGCTAAACCTTTGAGGTGATTTATTTATTAAGTGGTGAACTTGGAATTAAGATTGAGAGAAATGGAGAGCAAGAAGATGATGAAATGAATGAATGCAAGTAAAAATGTACAGGACGGCCTGTATTTATAAGGAGAAAAGTTGGGTTGAGAATATTATTTATTTTATTATATATGTATATACATGTTTGTTGTCATTTTGTTGGATGAGAAGACAAAAATTTTCTCTGATGACGAGAGTTTTCTTATTCAAAGTATTATAAAAATGTTTAATGGGTGATTAAAGTTTATCTTGGATCCAATTAGCAATATTTTTATTTATTTATTTTTGTTGCTAGAAGAAGCAGCCCACATTTTCATTAAAAATTAAAAGTATAGGGTTCAGAGCTGACCACTCCCACTTGTGTCGAAATTAAAACTATTGACAATCTAGTATTAAATGAATGCACTATTACTGGAGATAATTGATATGATCTTGTTGATGCTTGGTTTTGACACCAATTACTCGCACGTGTGAAATGCTGAGCTAACTCAGAAGACACACATGTATATGAGGGAATTGAACTGGTTAAGAGAAAAGAAAGCAATGTTTAAAGTGGTTCGGATGCTTAAGCAAGCGAATCCTACATCCACTAGTATTGTATTGATATATGAGATCAGGTCGCGTTCAGCGAGCTGACTTACAAGAGATTACGAGAGAGAGAGAGAGAATATATACGCTATTCCAGAGAGAAATTAGCTAATCCCACAAATGGGAGAGGAGCCCTCTATTTATAGTGGGATGAATTGAGGTAATGATTACTAGATCTGTGTAGCAGGTCAAGTTGCCTTGCAAATCTTTCTTTATGTCCAGTTGTTCACCTGCTCGAATGATTTCCTCCACTCGCGCAGAGATTTGGACACGTGGAACGTTCCCAGCCTTTTGCCCGCCTAGCGCATACCCACTATACTAACAGGAGCAGGCTGCTCACGTTAGCATGCGACGTGCATGCGTCTAGACCGCTGCAGAACCTTATCTAAGTTCTGACCGCTTACATTGACAGGGCTCTGCGTCAGCCCTACTTTTCCATGCATAACAGATCTCAATATATATAGTAAGCTAAAATCATGTTAGCTGAAATGGTGTTATTTACCTTCTATACCTTTTATGTAATGATGCTGTATTTATTTCACATTATTTGCTTTCCTTACATGTTACAGCTACACTTGTATAAATTGTGACACAGTGTACATGAATACATATCAAATACACAAAGTATTCTTTCTCTCTATTTCTTGCTGTCTTTTTCTCTCGGCATACTCAGCAACTAGAAGTTGCTTCTCCAACCTCTCCTTGGCATACTTCGGTAGCCTTACTACCTTCTCTTGCCACTCTGAATTCCAGGTTCTTACATGGTATCAGAGCAGGCCTTCTAGGAAAGCTTTCCTGACCTCCCTCCCTACCGCTCAAACTCTACTCCCTAGTATTGCTTCACCTATAAAAAAAAAAAAAAAAAAAAAAAAAAAAAAAAACCAAATCAGTTTTTTTTTTTTTCTCTTCTCAAAACAACACAAATGGAACCCAACACACAAACATGCCCTAATAACCAAACCAAACCCAACATCCACCTCGACCCAAACCCATAGCACCATCAAGATGGCCAAAACGGCCCACAAGCCCAAACCAATTCGCATTCGGGTATACGGGTTCTGGCCTAAACCCATAACCCCTCCAATTCCAGCTTGTCCAGCCTCAACATTGCCGGCTGGAGCCTGGCGATGCTCTGTTTTCCTCACCATCCAATGGGCCTGAACTTGTTCTAGTCAAACAAGTCCTCATTGGATTTGAAAACTAAGCGACATGGGCTCGCGATTTCCGTCGAGCGTTGATCACCAAAGACAAAGACGGCTTCATCGATGGCACTGTCGCACCACCTGCTGAAGCACATCTTCAAAAACACTAGACGAGATGCAATATGTTGGTCTGTGCCTGGATCAACAACTCCCTGACCCAGGATGTTGCCACCGGCTTACCACCAACATAAATCGTTGAAGAACTGTGGCAATCGGTAAATGAAATGTATAGGCAGTTGGATCTAGCAAAAATTTTCACTCTCCGGCAAAGCCTTGCGGAAGTGAAACAAAACAACAACACGGTTACCATGTATTACAACAGGTTGTCAGCCATCTGGAATGAGCTTGACGCCGTCACAGAGCCGCTGTAAGGCCCACTGGAAACTCTTCACTAGTTTTAGAGGATCAAGGACCAAGAACGATTGATCCACTTTCTTCTCGGCCTAAACGAGAGCTTTCTCTCCTTCCGCACTTAGATGTTGGCCAAGACATCCCCTCATTCTCTTCGTCGACTGTACCAGCTCGCCATTCAAGATGAAAGCTAGTGCTCAGCTTCCATAGAATCACCACGATAGGGTGATTCGTTGGCTTTTGCAGCTGAAAAGGGAGAGACCACAGGTGGGGAAAATCGACTACTAGGGTTTCAAAATGAAAATGAAACCCTTTTATATCAAGGGCTCAACGGCCAAGATCAAGCCAAACAATCCAATCGCCAGCAGACAGTTAACATGGTCAATGGGGTCAACACTATCAATGGAATCAATAGTCAACAGAATGGCAATCCATCGAACGGTCCATATTTGGGGAATTTCCAATATGGATCTAATGGCTCCCGATCATCCCAATCTGGTAAGAAAATGTATTGTGACTATATTAAGAGAAGGAATCACAATCAAGAAACTTGCTGGAAATTACATGGTCATCCTAAAAATGGCAATCCAATGGCAAATAGTGTGACTACCACCACCACAGGATCTGCTGCTCAATCCAATCTGATCAAACCTGAACAAATTAGCCAACTCATCCACATGCTGAATCAACTACCTACCACTAACACTTTCGCCAGTTATGCTTGTATTTCTTTTTGTTTCAGCAATTCAATTTCCCGTAATTTATGGATTATTGATTCAGGGGTTAGTGATCACATAATTTGCGATCCTAAATATTTCCAGATAGACACAAAACCCACTACATCCATTTCTGTTAGGATGCCCAATGGTACCATCGCTTCGGCAACCCATATAGGATCAGTCAAACTTAGTGACTTCATAACTCTTAGAAATGTCCTTTTTGTCCCTGATTTCACTTTTAACCTCATATCTGTCTCAAAATTTTGCATTGATAATAATTGCACATTACAATTTCTGCCTAATATGTGTACCTTTCAGGACCCTTCGACTAGCAAACAGATGGGCTTGAGTAAAGCCCATCATGGGTTATACTATTGGGAGCCTTTTTCATTTTCTAGCAAAAATAAATTCAATTATTGTAATGCCAATATCAATAATAATTCTATTATTTTTCATCAACGATTGGGTCATAGTGCTTCCATTCCTCATTTAACTTGTCAAATATCAAAGATTGATATTTGGGGACCATATTCTGTTCCCAATCATGATGGATCCCGTTTCTTCCTAACCATTGTGGATGACTTCTCCCGTGGGACTTGGATCTTTCTCATGCAAAACAAAGCTCAAGCCTTTTCTCACATCCTTAATTTCCTCTCCATGGTCCAAACACAATTCCACAAATGGGTTCAATGGGCTAGGACTGACAATGCTTCAGATTTTTTCAACAAACAGTGTTCCTCTCTATTCCTTTCCCATGGAATTCTCCACGAGAGTTCTTGTACTTATACTCCTCAACAAAATGGAATTGTTGAACGCAAACATCGTCACCTCTTAGAAGTCGCTAGAGCCCTAAACACTAAGCCAAAATACGAACCACCTTTTAGGGTGAATGTGTGATTACTGCTACCTATCTCATTAATCATATGCCTACACGGGTTATCGGAGGTAAAACTCCTTTTGAATTGTTATTTGGTAAGAAACCTGATAACACTCACTTACGACTTTTTGGTTGCCTTTGTTATTCCACTACTATAGGGCACCGTGACAAGTTTGCTCCTCGTGCCAGAAAATGTACTTTTATGGGATATCTCATGCTACAGAAAGGGTACCATTTATATGATTCCCAACATAACAAGTTTTTTGTTAGCAGAGTTGTAGTTTTTCATGAAGACAATTTTCCCTTCTCAGACAATAAGCCTTCATCCACTACATCGCCACTTGCAACATCGGATCATTGGTCCCTACCAGAAACTGCCATCACTCTCATTCCCATTCCAGCTGATCAAGCACAATCTGACACATCACAATTTTCAAATCAACATACTGAATCTACAATGTCCAATGCTCCTCCACTGTCTCCGCTCACCACAGATCCATCCACTATAGTCCCTCCTCTGGTTGATTCTCCAAATCCTATGTCCCATACACAATGACCAGACATTGTTCCACTATGTCGGTCCTCCTGCATTTCCTGACCTCCTGTATGGACAACCGACTACATATGTTCTAATGTAGACAGTATCTCTTATCCCATCTCTGATTATGTCAGTTTTGATCACCTATCTCCTGCCCACAGATCATGTATGAGCAGCATTTCTAATGATCGAGAACCTTCCTCCTTCCCTGATGCCATTCAACATCACTGTTGGCGTCAGGCCATGGAAGCAGAACTAAATGCTCTTATCAGTAATAAAACTTGGGATTTTGTTCCTCGTCCTTCACATCGAAAACCGATTGGTTGCAAGTGGGTCTACAAAATTAAGCATCGTGCTGATGGCTCCATCGAAAGATACAAAGCCCACCTTGTTGCTAAAGGTTTCACCCAACGAGAAGGTTTCGATTATCAAGAAAACTTTTCCCCAGTGGCTAAACATGTTACCGTTCAAGCTTTTCTATCCGTTACCTCTCATCATGATTGGCAATTACATCAGATGAATGTCCACAATGCCTTCCTCCATAAGGATCTTGATGAGGAGATTTATATGGCTCTTCCACCCGGTCTTTGCAATCAGGGGGAGAATTTGGTATGTCGATTGCGAAAATCTTTATATAGGTTGAAACAGGCATCTCGACAGTGGAATGCAAAGTTCACAGAAGC